GATCATTTGAGAGTGACTACTTTTCCATAATGAAATGTACTGATACTTTTGACTAGTAAAATAATCATATTATTACTTGAGCCCTTTTGTCGTTACACAAACATACATTCTTAATGGACAATTTACTTGGAGCTAGTGTATTTGGTAACAGCCTTAGTACCTTCACTGACGGCATGTTTGCCCAATTCACCCAAAAGTAGACGCTAAGCAGTTTCAATTTCGCGACTGGTGATAGTTGAACGTTTGTTATAGTGAGCCAAATGCGACACCTCAGCGGCAATTCGTTCGAAAATATCATTAACAAAACTATTCATTATACTCATTGCCTTCGAGGAAATACCAATATCGGGATCTAATTGTTTTAACACCTTGTAGATATAAATGACATAGCTGTAGCCCTGCCAGACGGAATATAGGCAATACTAACTGAACGAATGAATGTTACGCTCAGCAGACAGAAGCCCAAAAAGACAGTTGCTATTTGATTTTCAATAAATACACATCTAATATACATTGAATAAGAAATAGGACTGTTTTATTATTCCTACAAATTTCTCGGACTAAACCGCGATTGAAGCGTTGAAAAGTTATGATATCGAATGATGTACAGATAAATAAGTGATTTTGAATAAATAGCAAATGCAAAAAGTAAGAAATCTTTAGATGTGAATATTAAACTTATTTGTAAGGCTTTTCGCAATAGTAGAATATGAAAATGTATTCTATTTTGCGTTTAAAGTGTGAAGAGTTTTAACTAAAATATGAAAATTTTATTGAAATCAGAAAGTTTGAAACGTTAGGCCAGCAAAATCNATCCCAAGCCTTCCGCAACCGAAGCACTTTATACCCTTCCTACACTCTGAAGAGACATGCCCGAATCTCCTACAATTGAAACATCGGGTATTCGACCCCGGCCTAAAATTATCTACAGGGTCCGGCTCTGCTACCGCCGCGACCTCTACACCAGCCGAGACATAAGCCAAGTCAGGTTCCAATAGACCCTTGGCCTTATGACTCGGAGGAGGGACAAACGCAGCCACCGACGACCTCCCGACCTCCCGACCTCTAGTTGCCTACCCAAAGCAACTAGTTCCGTGATCGACCCTATCGTAACCAGTCCCAACTGGGTCTGGTAGAATGGTAGGAGATTCGCCCTAATCAATCCTAACTTCCTCTTTTCCGATAGAGGCACCTGCGGTCTGCCAAACATTATCTTTATCGCTGCTACATAAACGCCAATGGAGTCCTTCGCTCCTTGAGTCCTTCTCCTAATCTTACCTAGTAAGAGATCGTCGTAGTTGGGGTGCAAAAACTCCAGCTCCTCCTAACTACCTAATGACTTCCTGACTGACTCGCTCAACTCCTCAACCCGTTCTAAAAACGCGAAAAGCGACATTCCCGCTTTTTCGCCGTCAAAGTGGACGTCCCACTATGACAAGTTCACCGGATTCGGAGACTCGACTGTCTCCTCGACCACGCATCGTATCTCCACGGGAGGGGGGTGTTAACGGGTCCGCACGAGTGGCACCCGATCACTCTACCGAACCGACTTCCTTTTCTTCGGCTTCTTCGCTGCCACCTACCTCTTGTAGTTCGGCGAGATGGAGCAACAACTTGCTCTTCAGCTCCATCTGCTGACTCATCTCGTCGTCATTGCCCGGTAGCACCCGACCTATTCGCGAAAGGCACCACTCAATCTTTGCCATCGCTTTCGCTCCATGCGATGGTTTGCCTCCACTCGAAACCGATAAAATTAATTTTTCTTCCTCCTCCAGTTTCGATTCGACCGCCGTCTTATCCTCGTCGAAACTGAAGGGGTAGTCCTGAAAGAGGCTCACCGAACCTCTTCGCTCAATTAACCGCGAGGCCCTTAGCGACTTACGCATGGCCTCGACCGTACCGACTGGAAGGCCGTGGACCTCCATCTCGTACGTGAGCTCATCCTGCACTAAGCGATTAATTTCCATGATTAAAATAAAAAAAATCAAAAATTCGATAAAAAAAAATATAAAAACCAAAGCAATATTTATTGAAAAAAAATTTTAATTATCATTGAAATTAAAGAAAAAATCGATCACCCTAATATTCTTCGGGTTGCCCTATACTGGCTCAACAAAAGACCCTATCACAAAAACAACAAAAGAGCCTAACTACACGGAATAAAAAAAAATTTATAAAATAAAATACAATTATTTTCTACTCAGACAACACAAAAACTAATGAAATAAAAATAAAATAAAAAAAATATTTAATTTAAAAAAATTATAAAATATTACCAAAAAAAAAATCTTTAAATAACAAAAATAGGTAAAAAAACCACATTCTAATTCAAAACAACCACTACTGGTCACTTTCGGACCAGTCTCAACACAGTTAACCAACAATTTTCTCTATCGGCATAATCCTCCTATGCAATATACCGCAACAAACAAAAAAATTACAAAACGGAACGTACTCATGCTATTCCTTGGTACAGGCAAAGCTTATTATGGGCCTGGGTTCGACTCCCACTCTCCGAATACTTTCCACTCTTGAAATGCCCTACTAATAATAAAAATAAAAAATAGCAAAATATTAATAATTTTAAAAACAAGAAACCAAAAGCACAAAAGCCAGCGACTAAAGTCTCTACATATGTATAAACATATGTAACGCATAATCTCGTATTGAATACCAGCCTAATATATTTAGTACAGTGCGATCCATAATCAACTTTTCAGTTTGACATTTCGCACTCATTCGATCGCTCTACCTCCACGAATTCTAAATTTCTCTCATTCTTCTCCGGCAACCAGCAAATACTACTACACTCTCCTTGGCTCAATAAGTTTTATTTCACTGTGATTTTTATAATTTTATAATTTAATAAATATTTACCAAAATCAAAGTAGCTGAATTTAATTTCAAAAAGCATAAACGCTACAGTGGTAACCCCGACGTGATTGCAATGCCAAATCCAGAGGACGATACAGTAGCTAATTCAGACGTGAAGCCATCACTTTTTCAATCCAACATTATCCGACCAGTCCAGTTCAATCCGGATAAACCGTCATTATGGTTTGCTCAAATCGAAGCCCAGTTTGTAATTATACCTAACTTTAAAAACTGCACTCATAGCGCGATTTTCAAAATCTAAAGAAGCTAAGCTTCAACAACTTCTAGAGGGCGAAGCGTTAGGTGATCGTGCCCCATCTCAATTTTTGCGTTATCTCAAGTCATTAGTTCCTGGAGTCGGCGAAGACGTTATAAAGGCGAAATGGTTATCCGCCCTCCCTAAAGATACTCGCGCCATTTTAGCTCTGCAAACTACCGCTACTTTAGAGGACCTAGGTGCAAGCGCAGACCAATTGCTTGAAATTCTTCAGAATAGACAAACTGCCGCTGTCTCGCTTAGTTCAGGCAGCACAGACATTGGCCAACAAATTCTTGATTTGACCAAGCAAGTTGCTGCGCTGACCACTACCATTAACATACGGCAATTCAGACAAGCTGGCAGACAACAACAACGACACCAACATTATAGGTCCCGCAGTCGCTCGAATATGCGTAGTCTTAACAAAGACGGAATTTGTTACTACCACGCTAAGTTTGGAAAGGAAACCAAACGGTGCATCGATGGCTGCATATTCTCCGGAAACGCTGCAGAGAGTCATTAGTGGCGGACAGTGACTCTCAATCTGATTCTCGTCGCCTTTTTATTAAATATCGAGCCTCTACGACATCTTATTTGGTGGACACTGGTTCCGATCTATCCGTATTTCCTCGTACGCGATTGAGAACGCAATTACTACCAGTTGATTATCAGCTACACGCAGCAAACGGAACCATAATTTGAACCTATGGAATAAAGACGCTATCACTGAATCTTGGCCTTGGATGTGATTTAACATGGAACTTCGTCATACCGGATGTCACGAAACCAATCATCGGGGCTGACTTTTTGAGTCATTTTGATTTAATAGTCGACCTCAGAAGAGAATACTTACGCGATAGAATCACCGGTCTTACATCACCAGCATTTCTCCGCGCTGCAAATGAAGCTTCATCAGTTAAAGCAATCGAAGGTGACACGGTTTACCACAAAACACTTCGTAAATATCCCGAAATCACGAAACCAGATGGAGTAACCAAACCTAAAAAGCACGCTGCAAAATACCACATTCAAACAACAAAAGGACCACCTGTAACAAGTAAAGCAAGGCGTCTTGCCCCAGACAAGCGCGAGATGAGTTCAGCAAAATGATTAAATCGGGTATCGCACGCCTTCAACCCAAAAGTTCCGGCGAATGGAGGCCTTGCGGAGACTACCGCGCCCTGAATTCTCGAACCATCCCGGACAAGTATCCTGTACGTTGCTTGGATGAATTTTCGGAAATCTTACATGGGAAAAACGTTTTTACAACTATCGATTTGGTATGCGCATTCAACCAAATCCCGGTTGCCTCGGAAGATATATGCAAAACCGCCATAATTACGCCAATTTCCTTATATGACCTTCGGACTTCGTAACGCCGCACAGACATTCCAATGATTTATCGATAAGGTGACTCGTGACTTACCATTCATATTTGCTTATATAGACGACATATTAGTCGCATCAGCTAACGAAGCGGAACATCTACAACACCTGGAAGTTCTTTTTAAGCGACTTCAGGAATACGGACTCGTCATAAACCATTCAATCCGCAGCAATGAGGAAAAGAATTTTTGATTCACTGCACTCTTTAGCACATCCGGTTATCAAAGCATCTCAAAAGTTAGTCACGCTACGTTTGGCCGTCGATGAATAAAGACTGCCTTAGATGGGCCAAAGCATGTATCAACTGTCAACTCAATAAAGTACAGCCTCACAATAATCGACCATTTTACAAGATTCCTGGAGGCAGTACCACTTGAAAATGGAACCGCAGAAAAGGTTGCTCGTGAACTAATTAGACATTGGATTGCCAGATATGGTGTTCCAAGGAGAATAACATCTGATCAAGGTCGGCAGTTCGAATCGAAACTGTTTCATACTCTCACATAAATTTTCTGTATTATGCATCTATGAACGACACCTTATCATCCACAATCGAATGGCCTAGTCGAACGTCTTCATCGACAACTGAAATCAGCGCTATTGTGTCACAACAACAGTTGGTACGAAGCTTTACCAGCTGTACTCCTTGGCCTTCGCGCTGCGTAGAAAAAAGACATAAACACAACTCCTGCTGAACTTGTTTACGGAGAACCAATATGCCTACCTGGTGAATTTATCGCCCCATCTAATACTCACATTACAGCCAATGAAATTCTACGATCACTAAAGAATCATTTTCAAAATTCATCACCCACGGAAATGTTTCGACATGGCAAGCGTTCAGTTCTTTATTTTAAGAACCTCAACACCTGCTCTCGCTTATTATCCCGAAACGATCACATCGAAATTTCATTTTCACCGCCCTAAGAGGGTCCCTTCAAGGTAATATCACCGCATGATAAGTATTTCATGGCAAACTACAAAGGGAAACCCAAAGCGATATCTGTCGACAGATTGAAGCCAGTCTACTTTGCGAATGAGGACTTATAAACTCAGAACTCAGTCGACACTATATTGTCAACAACTAACGAAAACACATTAGTTACATTTAGTATTTCTTAATCTATAACATATTTATATAAACATGACTGTGAATTTAAATTAAATTTTTTTCTCAAATATTCAATGTAATTAATAATTTGTAATACCTATTATAACTTCTTTTCTCAAACAAGGGGAGTGTGTAGCGACTAAAGTCTCTACATATGTATAAACATATGTAACGCATATATTTAGTGCAGAGCGACCCATAATCAACTTTTCAGTTTGACATTTCGCACTCATTCGATCGCTCTACTTCCACGAATTCTAAATTTCTCTCATTCTTCTTTGGCGAACCAGCTTCAAGGCTTCAACTGCCCTTACACTTTCACTTGCCTTGCCTGGCAAAACGCTATTTATTTATTGTTATTATTAATTTTTTTCTTAAATCAAGTCGCACGCCTGCGTAAAAAGAGATGTTCGCACTTTCGTAGATTGCTGGAATCTGATCCGTTACGCACTTACGAGCCAGGCCGCAAGCTATGCGTCGACCTTCAAAACTCTCCTGCGAGTGTGTGTTGGTGCCCAATCATTTGACACCGCCCCCATTACCCAAAGGGACCGGGTTGTATATCGCACGCCACCATGGCACACCAAGTACACTGGGATAATTTTCCACTCGCCGCATTAAAGAAAAAGGCGACACCCCCTTTTTACGGAATTCCCGCGCAAAGCATTCAGTTGCCCCAATATTTGTTAGTGGGGGAACCGTTTTGTGGAACACCTCATTTTGGAGACTTATACCACTGGGTAGACACACACCGGAGTGAAAGGAAGCTTAGGCAAAACAAAGGAAATGAACATTCAAACACAAAAGAAGTTTTTGTTGCGCTCAGTAGGCGACAAATTATATGCAAAAATCAGCAAGTAATAAGAAGTGTGAGACATTGGTAAGCCATCGTAGCAGCTGTTGCAAAGGAAACTAAGCAACAACACCATTACTAAAAGAAGCAAGAACGAGAGGAAGCGAACTTAGTTGGATAAATATGTACATACATATATATCTATAGTTTTCGGAAAACCCCAATAAGAAGCTAGATAGAGAAGATTTAAATTAATTTAATTAATTAATTAATTTAAAGAGTAAAGTAAATACATATGTGCATTATATATTATTATATTATTAGAAATTAAAAACCAAAACAAAAAGTTTAAGAACAAGATTTTTGAATGTAAATACCAATAGAATACATATGTACATTATTTATTATTATATTATTAGAAATTAAAAACGAAAACAAAAAGTTTATGAAGAAGATTTTTGAATGTAAATACGAAAAGAAATAATTAAAGCATAGAGGAAATACCATAAATCTGAACAGAAATACCATAAATATCTATTACCGTATAAATATGTATGTACTAAGATTGAAATACACGTACATGTAACTCATTATTGTAAGCAGCATTATTTAGTTTTTACACTTACCTTTGTACACCTACATATACTTATTTCACTGCATATGACAGTTGAGACGTGACGAAACAGTGAATGTTGCACAACGCCCAGTTGCAATGAGTATCAATTTCGCGCTCAAAAGAATTCAAGATAGCTTACCTTGTTTTACGCATTAACTATTAGTGATTGTTACAGACGCATTAAATATCAGTGACTGGGTTCAAGAGTTTGAAGATAATGCCATTACACTATGTGGAACTAAGCTCGAGACATATATATATGCCAAACAATTGCTATAGGGAGGAGCAAAACTTATTCTACGTCAGGCAGTCAGGTATTAGAGATTGGAATTCTTTAAAATCAGCTATTATAGATGAGTTCAGTTTGAAATTGTCCTCGTAAGATATTCATGAAATGTTACGAAATAGGCGTAAACAGAATAGCGAATCATTCATGAAATGTTACGAAATAGGCGTAAACAGAATAGCGACTCATTCAGAGAGTACTTATATACTCTAATGGAAATAGCCAAGCCTATAGGGTTAGAAGAAGCTAACAAAACAATTTTGTATCAGGCACAAACCACTACAGACTTGAAAGAAAACCTTAAGATTTACGAAAAGGTGCATGGTTCGCGGTGATCTTTAAACAAGCCAAGCTATGCGTATAACTCATCAAAAAGTTCAACTTCTGAAAACAACAACAACATAAAGAAATGTTACAAATGCCCAGCTACCAAACATCTCGAAAAGGATTGTGGCACTGCAAGCAAACAGTTTAGGTGTTATAAATGCGGGGAAATAGGTCACAGAAAGGAAAGAAAAAAGTAAAGGAAGATAATGGTCC